CAGGTTGGGCTGGTGGGGTGAGTTAGACCAGTGCTCACCTCAAGGGATGCTTCCACTATACTTGCTGCATCCTCCTCCTCTGTCTCCCCTTGCCCTGCTCCCGAGCCAGGGAATGCTGCACCCTGGGATGTACCTGTGCCTGGGCCCTTTAAATGTGATCTCACCCCAAAGGCACTGATGGTAATGCTGAGGATGTCCTGAGATGCTCCCGATCTCCTACTCCCTGCCTGGCTGCCTGGTTCTAACACCCCACCGGGGCCCTTCCTGCCATTCCAGGGGTGTGTGCAGTGCTTTGGCTGGACTGGGATGGAAGTGCCTGTGGGCTGGGGATGGTGGGTAAGGTCTGGGCCCTGCTGCTTGTCCCTAGATGCCAGTGTGCCCAACGTGCAGGTGACGAGGCTCACCCTGATGTGTGAGCAGGCGCCGGGGCCAATCACCATGGACCTGACAGGTGAGCTGGGGGGACACCTGTGGGCGAAAGGGGAGGAGGAGGAAGGGGTACCAGGCTCATGGACCACCTCCCTGCACAGGAGACCTGGAGGGGCTGCGGGGCCAGGCCTTCGTGCTGAAGGAGGGGGTAGACTACAGGGTGAAGGTGTCCTTCAAGGTGAGGAGGATGATTGGTGCCCTGTGCCCACTGACTGGGCAGGATGCTCACACCCAGGGGTCGATGCTGTCCTGGGTCCCTGCCCTCACACCCTGAATTCCCTCCCCTAAGAGATCCCTGCTCCCTGTGGGTCCCTTTTCCCACATGTCCCTCCTGCCACCCATGGGTCACTTCCACTTGGGGTCCCTGCTGCCTTCGGCATGTGCTTCCCACCCCTTATCCTCAGGGTCTGTGCCCATCTGGGGGTCTCTGCCCACCCCAAGGGTCCCCAGGGTGGTGGTGGGGGCCCCATGCTGTGGGGCAGCACCCATGGCACCTCTGCCTTCTACCTACAGGTGAACAGGGAGATCGTCTGTGGGCTGCGGTGCCTGCACCTCACCTACCGCCGGGGCCGGCCAGGTGAGCGGGTCAGGGCTCTGGGGCTGGGGAGGCTGTGCCACCCTGGCCCTGCTCACCTGTCAACCCTCTCCCCTTCTCACCCAGTGGATCGTGATGTCTTCATGGTGGGCAGCTACGCGCCGCGGGCCGAGGAGTACGAGGTGGTGACGCCGGCGGAGGAGGCACCGCGGGGATGGTTGGCACGGGGCTCCTACCGCGTCCGCTCCCTCGTCACCGACGACGACAAGACGGAGCACCTGTCCTGGGAGTGGGGCCTCTGCATAAAGAAGGCCTGGGAGGACTGAGCCCCCCACTCACACCCCAGTTCCCCCTGCCAGCTCGGGGACGCAGTGCCTGCCAGCCCAGGGGACCCTTTGCGGGCACCGCCGCGCTTGCCCCAGTCGTGTGAAGGGTTGAGGGGGGTCCCTGAGCGAGTGGGCACCCGTGGTCGTGGTCTTCGCAACCAAAGTTATTTTTAATTGCTGTTTTTTTTTAAATATCGACACCCACCTGGTCCTCACAGCGTCCCCATCGCTGGGGCCAGGGCTGTGACCCTGCCGTGGTGGTGCTGTGCCTGGTACCCACCCGGTCGCAGGCTGTGCTCTTCCATCGCCATTAAACCCTACAGACTGGTCTCTTACTGGTGTGTCTGTGCCCCTGTCCCCTGTCCCCATCCTGCTGGCAGGGCC